AGATATATAAGATAGTCGAAGAATTATATCCATTATCATACATCTAGTGGAGAGCTTTTTGCAGTTTTCCCTGATGTAAGATGGATATCAGTTTTGGATTTCTCGCATCGCCGATACTATTCGTAAAGTATCCTATACCATGTATGCGAGAATGATATATTATCTCTCTGTAAATACGAAATTATATACGCTATTCGGGATTATCAATCATTCCGCGGGAACAAGGTAAAGAAGCGATCTTTAACTTTGGATTTCGTGAAACTGTACAAATTCTACAATAACGCGTTGCTATATACAATACATTCCTTTCTCGCACTTATCATACATAGAAAGAATGATTTTGCTGAATCTAAAAATTTAGTTAGATATAGATCTAAAAATAATTTTGTCGGACTATAACAAAAAAAAATTTTTCATACATGAATATGTATAAATATGTATAAACATACATAAATATTCATAACATGTATAATCATATATGAAATATGTTCATACATGTTCATACATCCATTTTTCTTTTGTAAAATTACTTTTTAGTACAATAGAAATAATATCAGTAATGGGAAAACATTAAAAATAATTAAAAGGATAATTTTCACACTATTTGTTTGAGAAAAAATCAAATTTGAAGAAATGTAAAAAAATTACATTATGTATAATTATATATAAAATTGTATATAATTATGTATAAATATTTTTTTTACATTTTTCTAAGTGTGTTTCTTTCCCAAAACGAACAATGCAAAAATTACCCCTTTAATTTTTTATGTTTTCACATTACTCTTATTATTTCTATTACACTAAAACATAATTTTACAAAAGAAAGAGAAATGTATAAACATGTATGAACATATTTATATATGATTATATGTTTATGAATGTTTATGTATGTTTATATATATTTGTATTATACATATTCATGCATAAAAAATTTTTTACCGGATAATTACGTAGGACTCTCAAATTTAACGAACAATGCATAAAGCATTTTGATATTCTAACTAATTTGAACTTATAAACATAATTATTTTGACAATTAAAATATCAAATTTTATTTCAAAATTTATGCCTTTATGCTTAAATTGTTATAATTATTTTGGTATAATAATTTTTAAATCTGTATCTAGCTAAATTTTTAAATACTTCAACAAAATCGTTCTCTCCATGCAGATATCATATCAATGCGAGCATAAATTCCTTTTGTTGATAGTCTTTTTATGATCGCTCTACATTATTTATATCTATATAAAATAGTTTCAAAGTCACTTTCAAAGCAGTGTCCTTATCTCTTTACGTATCTCTTATAAAATGTAACTTCAGTTTTATGCTAATATATGTATATTCAATTTTATACATTTTTTCATACTTTTTAATATATTTATTCTTTAATATTTATATAATTTAATAAACGGACGTTAATAAAATGTATTTCTTTAATGTTTAGACCAAGTCTCTCCACTTTTAAAGGGCATTATTACCTTTAAATAATTTATTAATTATTCTATTTTTAATAATTTTATATTATATAACTGGCAGAAATACCTGTCTATTTTATATATGATATAAGAAATATATTAAAAATTTTTACCACTGTCGGTAATTATCTATATATTAAAATACTACTGTTGGTAAATTACCTATAATGGTAAAAGAGACCGATCAAGTGCAGAATCGCATCGACAGATGGCACCAGCGACAAAAAGGACAATTTTCAAATTCCGTGATTTCGCTATCGCGAACAACGACATGCAGATTTTCAATTTCGCATTCCTTGAATCTGCTTCCCATATTTTCGATATGCCGCAAAGCGAAATTGTCTCTATTTTACACGAATATCATAAGTGCGGCGATTGAAATATCACTTGTTTGAAACAAGATCGGAAATTCCAAGGGACCCCATATTTGTTCTTAATCGCAAATAAATTTCGTAATTTTTGATCGAATATCGCACAGCACTGCACCGCACAATTTATGCAATAGGTATCTTGGAAATATTCTTAGGACGTTCAGAGGACACAGGGATGTCCTGTGGATACTTTAGGACATTCTTTGGCGTATTTCTGCGTAATATGGGAAGCTTGTATTAAACCTACAGCGGCATGACACTTTTTTTTTCGTTGGATTGCTTGCATTTTAATAAATTATTAGTACTGTGCCACAAACGCAGAATTTTGAGTAATTTAATAAAATGCGATAGGAAAACACTCATCGTGCGTCGCAATTACGAACATATGAATACCTGGCGAGAAAATCTTGAACGCCGCATCGGCTGTGCGAGAAGATCCCGATCGCCGCATCGGCTGTGCGAGAAGATCCAGATCGCCGCATCGGCTGTGGGCGCTTTCTGCTTCCTCACATCCAGAGAGTCCTCATTAACGTCGCCTCCAGGTAGTCCAGCTCGTCGTTATCCAAAGTTGCACTTTAACAATCACACACGAGCGCGCCGCGAATGAGCGAAACTTCCCGCGCTCAACATCGCGCGGCCACGATTTCAAATCTACTGCGCGCTCGGCACTTCTACTCTAGACGTTTCGCATTCGCCGCGTTGGCAGCACTGCGTCGCCAATAGCGCCGATAGTGAAGACAGCGGAGTAACCGGAGCAACTTCATGCGGTAAGCGCCGTGTCGGAGCGCACTTGAAGTACAACACAGGTACTGATACGCACAGTGAACTGCTTCGGCCTATCGTATCGCGATGCATTATAATTCGATGTGCAACATGTAATCACGGTGGCAAGGTGAGTATACCGATTGCGAGACGAAGGTATCAACGTCGTGCGAGCGCGTGCAGCAATTGTCGTTTTTCCTTGCAGGGAATCAGAGGAAACACTCGGCGTATCCGGTGAGATAAATTACCCCCCCAGGGGTGGGGTCAACTGATCGCTGTCATTTACGTTTAACAAGTTGATAAGTAATGCCAATCGCGTGAGGGGCGATCAAGCAACGCGGTCATGGCTCGACCCATCGTGCCGAGCCAGCAGAAGCTGGCCGAGAAATTGACCATCCTGAACGACAGAGGTATAGGTATGTTAACACGTATTTACAATATCAAGAAGGCCTGTGGTGATGCCAAGTCGAAGCCCGCCTTCCTCTCTGACAAGGCGCTGGAGTCTTCTATCAAGACAATCGTCAGGAAGTTCCCTAACATCGACATTAAAGGGCTGCAGACCATTATGAACATTCGTAATGAGATTATCAAGTCTCTGTCATTGTACTACTATACGTTCGTTGACCTGCTAGACTTTAAAGACAACGTGTGCGAACTTTTGACTACTATGGACGCGTGTGGCGTCCACATGGATATTACAATTAATTTTGATTTGACCAAAGGTTATCTAGATCTTGTAATCACGTACGTCAGCCTGATGATTCTCCTGTCGCGAGTCGAGGATCGTAAAGCTGTGCTGGGACTCTTCAATGCGGCTCACGAGATGGTGCACAGTCAGTCGGATCCCAGCTTTCCTCGCTTAGGACAGATGATTATGGATTATGATGCTCCGTTGAAAAAACTTTCTGAAGAATTCGTGCCGCATTCTAAATTGCTGAAAAATGCTCTAACTTCGTTGTGGCCAGTGTATCCTGGTAGAAACTTGTCTGCTGACACGTGGAGAGCTGATCAGAAATTAAGTCTTGTTGGTAGTCCTGGGCAAATATTAAAAGCAGCAGCAACAGATACCATGTCCTGCGAGACATTGAGCTTGGATAGAATCGAGAGATGGGTGATTCTTGGATTTACGCTTTGTCACACGTTTTTGAGCCAGGAACAACCAAGCAAACTGTGGATCACTGCTTTAGAATCTGGATGGGTATTAGCGTTGTTCAGAGACGAGGTGATTTACATACATCAGTATATTCAAACATTCTTCGAAGGTATGAAAGGATATGGAAAACGGGTATCAGAGGTGAAAGAATGTTATAATCAAGCAGTACAAAAAGCTGGCTATAGACATAGAGAAAGAAGAAAATTTTTGAGGACTGCTCTGAAGGAATTAGGTTTAATTTTGACAGACCAGCCTGGTCTTCTGGGACCGAAAGCGCTGCTGGTATTAATGGGTCTTTCCCATGCGAGAGACGAAGTCTTGTGGCTGTTGAGACACGGAGATAATCCTCCTATTCAAGGTAAAGCCAAGGGACGAGGTGGCGAGGATTTGGTGGATCGTCAATTGCCAGAATTGCTCTTCCATTGCGAGGAATTACGAGCGCTAGTAAAAAAATATTCTCAGGTGCTTCAAAGGTATTACGTCCAATTTCTTTCAGGATTCGATGCCCCCGCTTTACATCAGATGATACAAAATCTTCCGGTTTGCCCGGAAGACGAGGGGGCTATTCTTAGTGATATGTGTTCAACTATAGCTAGTCTGACCGTAAAGCAGGTCGAGGACAATGAATTGTTTGATTTCCGTGCCTTTCGATTGGATTGGTTTAGGCTGCAGGCCTATATGTCTATTGCGAAATGCAATATGAATCTGGCTGATAATAGAGAATTAGCTTCTTTCATGGATACTGTAATCTTCCACACGAAAATGGTTGACAATTTGGATGAGATGTTAGTCGAGACGTCTGATTTATCTATCTTCTGCTTCTACAGCAAAATATTCGAGGATCAGTTTCACATGTGCCTCGAGTTTCCTGCCCAGAACCGGTATATCGTTGCCTTCCCGCTCATATGCAGTCATTTTCAAAGTTGTACCCACGAGCTCTGTCCGGAGGAACGTCATCACATTCGCGAGAGAAGCCTTTCCGTTGTCAATATGTTTCTGGATGAAATGGCCAAAGAAGCTAAGAATATTATCACGACTATTTGCGACGAGCAGTGCAACATGAGTGACAAATTATTGCCGAAACACTGCGCTCTATTAATTTCACAAGTTGTTAATCGTAAGAAGAAGGATAAGAACAAGAAGAACATGTACGAGATTCACAAGCCTGGTATAGAGAGCTATCGGAAAACTCGGGAGGAATTAACGACGATGGACAAGCTGCACATGGCTCTTACCGAGCTGTGTTATGCCATTAATTACTGTCCTACTATTAATGTCTGGGAGTACACCTTCGCGCCAAGAGAGTATCTGCATCAGCATCTGGAGTCGCGATTTGCTAGAGCGCTGGTGGGAATGGTCATGTACAATCCGGATACCAGCGAGATAGCCAAACCGTCTGAGCTCTTCGTCAGTGTTAGATCTTACATGAATGTTCTTCAAACCATCGAGAATTACGTGCACATAGATATCACGCGGGTCTTCAACAACGCCCTGCTGCAGCAAACACAGGAGCTGGACAGTCACGGTGACAAAACTATAGCTGCACTCTATACGCAATGGTATTCGGACGTTCTGCTGAGGCGAGTAAGCGCCGGTAATATTTGCTATTCGGCGAATCAACGGGCGTTCGTCAGCTTGTCGGTTGAAGGTGCTATACCCTTTAACGCCGAAGAGTTCTCCGATATTAATGAACTAAGGGCACTAGCAGAATTGATAGGACCATACGGTATGAAGATGTTGAATGAGAACTTAATGTGGCATATCGCCAGTCAGGTACAACAGTTGAAGAAATTGGTGGCCGGCAACAAGGATGTGCTGATTTCTCTGAGAACGAATTTCGACAAGCCGGAAGTGATGAAGGAGCAATTTAAGAAGCTACAACACGTGGACAACGTTCTTCAACGAGTTACTATAATAGGTGTCATTCTCAGCTTCCGACAGTTGTCACAGTCAGCTCTGGTCGACGTGTTGGAGGAACGTATACCGTTTCTGTTGAGCTCTATATTGGACTTCAGACATCATCTGCCATCCGGCGATCCTATGCGCGTCGTCTCCGAGATGACGTCGGCCGCAGGCTTGACTTGCAAAGTCGATCCCACTTTGACGACAGCACTGCGAAACCAGAAAGCTGAAGTCGACGAGGACGAGCACCTGCTTGTTTGCTTGTTGATGGTCTTCGTAGCGGTTTCCATTCCGAAATTGTCTCGGAACGACAATTCCTTTTACAGAGCGTCGCTCGAAGGCCACTCCAATAACATACATTGCATGGCTACAGCAATAAATAATATATTTGGAGCATTGTTTACGATTTGTGGACAAAATGATATAGAGGACAGAATGAAGGAGTTTCTCGCTCTGGCCTCGTCCAGCTTGTTAAAATTAGGGCAAGAAGCGGACAAGGAAGCAACTCGAAACAGAGAGTCCGTGTATCTTCTGCTCGATCAAATAGTTCAAGAATCTCCATTCCTGACGATGGACTTGTTGGAGAGTTGTTTTCCATATGCACTGATACGCAATGCATATCACGATGTGTACAAACTTGAGCATTCGCAGCCGTGAATTTAATAGCGAAATTGCGAGGTGCTGCATTTATAACTTGCCACTCAGGGCCACTTTTTTTACGTCCACTTATAACATCGGAAGCAATTGTGAAGACTTTGCTATTATATATCTGGCCGAATGATAACTTTCCGGATAGGATTAGTTTTCGATTAGTATCGCTGAAAAAGTACAAGCATATGTCAGCGAAAGTATGAGAGAGTGGTAAATGCATACGAATGTTCAAGGGTCGATAAAGTTATCTACAAATTATTTCTCGATATTTCAACAGAACGGTAAAGCTTGCGGCATTGTAATACACTTTAGCCATTTTCTCTTTGCTTGTGACAAAAACCGCGCGTCATATTTAATCTGTTTAATATT